AACGATATTCCTCGATAGAGTTTCGTTAGAAAGTATGTTTCTCACTTTCCAACCGCTTTCTAAAAATGTGAAAAGAACAATGATGAGCGCGCCTATTCCGCGATTCGTCTTCTAACGACGGTTAATTATTTTTACTTGAGACCAAGTAATCGTGCGAGTAACGATTCGAGGCTAATTAAAATAAAGACGGACAAAAATTGACCGAATAAATTGTTCTAACTGGTCTGGAAAAATTGAGAGAAAGAAAAAGGAAAAAAAAAAAAAGAAAATAAAAAAGGGGAAAAAAAAATTGTCGAGCTAAAAAATTTCAAAAAATATTTACGACGTTCTGACGTATATATGTTGATACTCTTCGAATATAAAAATTCGATTATCATAACATTAAAAAAGTAAGTACGTATGTAAGTTACGTTGGTTATGAGTATAATGAAGTTTGCCTTCAAAGGCTATCTCTCATGAGTACCTCTGTATTTGTACAAAACGTGAAATAGTCGCAAAATCATATATTCCTGTAATACGCATATATATATATATATATATATATATATATATATATATATATATATGTATATATATATGTATGTCTCTACGGAACGTACGACGTTACGACACGGCTGTAAATTAGAAGAATTGGGCCAGCACACGTTCGACCGTGCTCTCGTATTGCGCCCATGTGAGGAATAAATGCGTAAGCTTGGGCGCTCGCTCGCGTGCCCGCGCACCAACGCTTCTTTTTTTGCAACTCGCGAACGACGACGACGACGACGACAACGACGACGACGACGACGACGACGAGTCGCAATTATTGCTAACACGGATGTCTGCTCGCGATTCACGGGGCCTTGGCCGGTTTCCCTTTCAGAACGCGGAGGGTCGACGAGTCTTGAATTCTACTTCTTCATTCGTTTGCTTGTATACGCGCGCCTGAGATTAATAGAATAAGTTAGTAACGCCATTGAAACGATCACACGATTTCTATTTTCTTTGGGATACATGGATAACTGAAAATTAACAGTCAGTTATCGATAAAAGTTCATTTCATAAATCTTTCATTAACCATTCGAGTTGATTACCGACAGAAAGTACAGTCTTACCGACCGACGATACTATATTACCGACGGAGACTTACCGACGCATTAAACTTTTATCATTATCAGAGGGCGCTTATATATATTGGCGCGTTATTATACATTACTGTTACATATAATGATTTTAGATTATAACGATTATATATTTGTTTTATTTCGTCCTACCTTTGCTCGTTTCGTGTTGAATATTTTCTGTCTTTATCTCCGCCCTCGTTGCATAAGGGATAGTCGTTGGAGAGGCTTGGGACGATGGTGCGGCTAATTTTTCTAAATGAACGAATGAATTAATCGAATTAATTATAATTCTTTTAATTATAAATATACGTATAGATCGAGAAATGAAAAATTTTTCTTTGAATTTACATACCCGCTAATAAAGGATTCGCCGCAGCGATGTTGTACCTTTGCCGCCTACAGGAATTCGAAAGAGGTGTCGTGGTAGAACTTGGTTGACTGGCCTCGGCCAAATCCGCTTGCAATTCTCGAAGAAATGTATCTAACGTATCGAAGGGTTCTTCCCCGGTAACATTGGACATACCTTCACCTTCTTCCGTCGGTACATTAGGTGCAGCTGGGGTACCAACTAACGCGCTTAACTCCATTGCAGAAAACTCGACCGATTGACCAGTACTACTTTCCTGGTAACAGAATACCGTTCGTCGAGTGCTGCCCTCTTACACATTGACTTTCAATTAAATTGCCAATTCAATTAAATTGCCAATTCAATTAAATTTACTTTTTTTAAACAATTTAAATATTTTATAATACAACGTTGAATGAATTTTATAATAGAACGATTTGAACACTATTTTATTATTATTATTTTTTTTTTAATTCTAATAATGTTCTTTACTTTTAATATTTTTTATCGACAAATTTTGTTTTCATCTATATATTACATAATTAATGTTAATAGATCTTTTTTTTTTTTGTAGTCTGAAAAAGAAATTATTAAGGAGAAGAAAAAAAAAGGATAATAAATAAAAGATAATAAAAAATAAAAAATAGTAATAATAATAAAAATAATAATCATAATAATAATGATAATAATAGTGTTCTAACCTGAAGGCATTGAGTTAAGTCGACCATCTTTCCATCATTGTCAGGGCACCAAAGTAATTCGTCGTCTATGAAGGGCATGTTTGACTCCTCCTTGGGTACTAGGGTGGAGGTTAGCGTGAGGGTTTGCGATACGGGGACCGGCATCGGGACCCGTACGCTGCGGCGGGGCCTCTTTAGCCACCCCCGCGCCTTCTATCATCCAAAACCACCCTCCTCGATACTTCCCCACCTTACGTCCCTTTTCTTTCCTTATCTTTGCCACTCCAAAGGAACGGCAAATATTTTTTTTCTCCAATGCGATTTATAATACCTGCAATAACCGATATATATATATATATTTTTTTTTTTTTTTATCTAAATAATCCATTATTAATAATAATTCAAATTATCCTAATTACATCAGAAATATATTTTCTAATCAAACTTTTTAAAATAGATTTAACAACACGTTACATATGTAAGCAAGTATTTTCTATGTATCGTACGTATGTACGAACGAGTACGTGAGATAAATTAATAATAATTGAAGAGAAAGAAAGAAAGAAAGAAAGAATGAGAGAAAAGAAAAGGAAAAAAGAAAAAAAAGAGAAAAAAAAAAGAAAGAAAGAGAAAAACAAAAACGAAAAAAATCAACGAATCGATCTACTTTCCCCTTTGATATTTCCATATCTCGAGACCAACGTACGTGGATAACCTAAAGGCAAGAGAAACAACGACTCTGATGAAAGTCTTAAGAGCATTGATTGTGCGATTTTCCAATTAAGGTAACAGTCTTATCGTGTCAGTCCTTCTCTTTTTCTCTATCTCTCCCCTCTCTCTATCTATCTCTATCTCTATCTCTACTCTCTATCTCTCTCTCTCTCTCTTTCTTTCTCTTTCTACTCGTAATTACATACGGGAACGAGTAAGTACTTTCTCTCGAGGCTCTCATAGGAATACTACCGAACGTTTCGCTCAGAGAATCGTCAATATATAAAATCCGTGCGAATTATGCGCATCAAACTTATGTACGTACATACCTATCTACAGAAATATGTATATACATTACACACAATTATATATATATATATTATACGTTTCTTTCAAATTGAAAAAGTAAAGGAATGAAAAGAGAAAAAGAAAAATAATAAAAAAGAGGATAAAAAAAGAAGAAGAAGAAGAAGAAGAAAGAGGAAAAAAAATATAAAGTTCACAAGCTACGTACATAACGATGAGATTATTTGAATTTGCCCGAAAGGCAAATGTAACGAAAGTTAACGATCATTGGCGGGAAACTCTTCTAATTCGTCGTTTATAGAAAGAGAGACTTACGTATATATATATATAATATATACATACATACATACATACATAGATAAGTACATAGATAAAAAAGGATCAACGACGATACAAGCAAGAATAGTGAAAAAGTCAACGGGAAGAGTTGATGGGATAGGGGCCGTGGGAGGGGATAAAGAGAAAGAAAGAGAGAGAGAGAGAGAGAGAGAGAGAGAGAGAGATAGATAAATAGATAGAGAGAGAAAGAGAGAGAGGGTGGAGACGAGGTAAACTCTCTCGGACGAGAGCGTTCGAGCATTGGCATTTCCATGAAAGTGAAAACACATTTGCACGAGTGAAAACTTTCTTTCTGTCCTCTCTTTGCAGGTTGTGTTTCACTTCCTGTGCGCGCGTAACCTCCACTCGCGCATCGACGGCAGCTAACGGCGGCAATGACGACGGCGATGGTGGCGGTGGTGGAGGTGGCGGAGGCGGTGGCTATTTACTTGCTTACTTGCTTACTTGTCTACTTGCTTGCTTGTTTGTTTGCCTTGCCTTGCCTTGCCTTGCCTTGCCTTGCCTCTCCCTCGGACACGCATTTCTATGCAGCTTCTAACTGAAGGTGCGCACGAACTGTGTCTTTACGTAATTCTCATAGCCCGCGAAAGAAAGTTTCTCTATTCGTTCTGCTAAGAGGTTAACATCCTAACTGCCCCCTCCCCCACCCCATCCCCACCCCTCATCACCAATCATCGCAACGCAAAAATCTTTTTCCTATCTCCTTACTCTCCCTTACCTCACTTCCCCCGATCCATCATCAACCATTACTATCCTCTACTCCTCCCCCTTTTGCCTAATACCTTCTTAATATAATGTTACTTTCTTTTATTGGATTTATATACGACATTTATGTACGTATATATATGTATTTATATTTTGTATTGTATATATATATATTTATAGATGCATATATAGTCATATATAGTCATATATATATATGTATGTATATATGGTCATTATCCAGCGAAATCGAGTTGAAAGCATTCTACCGAAAACAATGTGAGAACGAAGAGTGAAAGATTATTAAAATTCACGGCCCGTTTCAAAATCAGATATTTATTAATTCTTTCGATCCAAGAACTTCCGTATTAATTTGTATTAAAAGTTTCCTATATATATTTTTTTTTTCTCGGGCGATAAATTATTACGAGGTATATATATATGTATATATATATATTATATACTCATTATGTTGGATATATATGAATCTATATATGTATATATATATATATATTTACGTATTATATGGGTACATAAAATTTGATGTATATCTAGATACATAACTTATATACATACATATGTATAATAAGATGTATACATGTATATATGTGTATACATAAAAAAAAATATAATTTAATATCGTTAAATTTATTTATAGCAGAAAAAGAGTATTACTTTTAACTTTTAAAATTAGTGTACTTTCGTTTAATTAAAAAAAGAAAAAAAAAAAAAGAGAAAAAAAAGAAAAGAAAAAGGATTCATATTACGCGCCATGCCGGAGCAAAAGCTACAGCGGCAAGAGCAGACGACGTGAGAGTAGTTTGCAAGATGGCGGACGACGATAACAGCTCGACATCCGACGATAGTCTTGATTTTAATAGCGACAAATTCGATCCGATTAAAGCTTTATACTCGAATAAAATACGTTTACCTTCTGCTTGCGCGCCTATTTACGACAATGTGTGCATGTTCGAAAGTCGTATGAAAAATCCTGCGCGTGTTAAAAAAATATCTCAAGTATGTATGTAACGAGAATCGAAACGAAATTATAAGATTTTCCCTTCTCTCTCTCTCTCTCTCTCTCTTCTTTCTTTCTTTTTCATTTTTGCAAATTTCTTTCTCTATATCTCTTTCTTTTTCTTTTCTTTTCCTTCGACATTTCAGACAGGAAACGATGTTGTCAAGGCAAAGGAATACTCAAAGCAACGGTTTATCTCAAGTCAAGGTAAGTTTCTATTATTTTCCTGTTATATTATTTTCTATCATTCCTTTATGTTAACCTAACCTACGACGACAATGTCACTTTCTCTCATCTCTCTCTCTTTCTCTCTCTTTTTTTTCTCTCTCTTTTTCTCTATGCCGAAGGACTCTGAAGCACGTCGAGACTTGAATACCTTTCTACGATGATGGGTGGCGCCACCTTCGATATCGATGCTACGAACATTTCACGACAGATGACGCTCGTCTCTTCGTTTATCTATCTATCCTTTTCTCTTTCTCTCTCTCTCTCTCTCTGTCTCTCTCTCTCTCTCTCTCTCTCTCTCTTTCTTTCTCTCTCTCTCTCTTTCTCTTTCTCTTTCTCTCTCATACACACTCTCGGCAGCTTCATTCATGACAAACTCGGAAGGCGATATCGAATTTCAACGCGGCACGTGCTCGCCAAGTTTTAAAATCGAACGCATTGATGTACATACGCCATGAAATTCATGCGCACTAAACTTATCGATAACGAACGAATTCTTTTCTCTCTCCATATATATATATATTAAGTATTTCATATTAGAACAAGAAAATTAATGGACTTTGCACGAAGATTGAAATAAGTTCAATGATGGATGATTGATCAATGTAAAAAATATATTCTCTTGATGGTTACGAAGTAACATTTTGTACATATGTACATACTTATATACATACTTATATACATACATACATATATACATACATACATACATATATATATATATACATACATATGTACATACACATACATACATACTCATTCTGAAATATTCGAATTATAATGTAGTTTTTTTAAAAAGAAGTCTACGAACAACAACAAAAAAAAAGAAAGATAAACAAGAAAAAAATCAGTAGAAATAAAATAATATAAATTCGCCCTCGAATGTCGTCATTATTATCGATTATGCCGTAGGTAAGTAAGTATCTAAAGACGAATATATTTTATTATAATAATCGAACGACTTTCCCATCTCATCAGTACGTACTATACGTACATACAAATGATGGCGGTAACAGCAAGCCTGACGATAGTGGCACACATTATTTACGAGACATGCACGCACACACCATCGAAGGTCCTGGACAGTCTGCCTTGATGTACGTCGCATATACACATACACACACACATATATATATATATATATATATATATACAAAGATGTATGCATGTACATAAATAGATGCATAGATATATACATATATATATATATAGCATATGCATGCTTTTACATATATATATATATATAAGCATGCATATGTTATATATATAGACGCCTGGAATTTGACCTCCGTCGAAAAGTGCGTCAACTCGTTAGAAGTCACGGCGTTTTCATTGTTCCTTTTTATATAAAAAGAACGACATCTACCATCCTTTTTCACCCGGCTTAAAGCGTTGTTACGCATGCGTTCCGTTCGCAAGATAGATATCGCGCAATTATATATTTATGTATGTATGTATCTATATGAACGTACTTATATTGCAAATTACTAAGCACTAAGAACTTTATTTGTTTGTTTGTATATACTTTTTCTTTTTCTTTCGCATCCATCCGAATAGCTATTTACGCAAAACATAACATTATTTCTCTCCCACTTTTCAACAAATTTTATTCATGTATTATTCTCTTTCTCTCTTCCTCTCATCCCTCTTCTCTCTCTCTCTCTCTCTCTTTCTCTCTCTCTCTCTTTCTCTCTCTCTCTCTCTCTCTCTCTCTCTCTATGAATCACGCATGCATTAACATATGCATTTACTAAGGAAACATTTCGTTCGAAATCGTTTTGCTCCTTCGTTTTTCTTTTCATTTATTTTCTGCATTAATTCATTGAAGAAGAAAAAAAGAAAGAAAAAAAAAGAAAAAAAAAGAAAGAGAAAAAAAAAAGAAAAGAAAAGAAAAGAGAACAGAAAATGGCGGGAAACGTATATATATATATATATATACGTATTATAGATATAGAATACTTAGTAATATCTAAAAAAAAAAAAAAAAAAAAAAGAAAAAAGAAAAAAGAAAAGAAAAAAAAATAAATTCGAAGAAAGTTCTCAGAGTAGTGGTTTTATTATACGGATATACTCGAATGAAATCAGCAAATACGTCTATGCGTCTTATTCTCTCTCTCTCTCCCTCCCCCTCCCTCTCTCCCTTTCTCTCTTTTTCTCTCTCTCTCTCTCTCTCTCTCTGTCTGTCTGTCTGCCTCTGTCTCTCTCAACTTTTCCTTCTCCTCTTTCTCTCTTTCTGATCGTCCTCATCCTCATCCCTTTTCGTCGTACTCTTAGAGAACGCGCGCGGCGCGTTCTTCTTCTAACCACCGAGGGTATATATCTATTGGCCGGCAGCCAATTACACGAGGCAGCCGATAAATCACGGATCCCTGACCCAGTGCAGTTTTATATTTACGGAGGACGGTGGTGTTTGCGCCTGTGTGCGATAGAGGCACGCGCGCACGACGCTGACACTCGACTGGCGTTATCTCTCTTTCTTTCTCTCTCTCTTTCTTTCTCTCTCTCTCTCTCTCTCTCTTTCTTTCTCATTCTCTTTCTCTCTCTCTCTCTCTTTCTCTTTTTCTTTCTCTCTCTTTTCCTCTCTCAGCGATGCTCTCTCGAGTGCACGGAGCAACGGAGATGGGTGAACACGAAGAAGGAAAAGGAGAGAGAGAGTGAGAGAGATAGATAGGTCGGCTTCTCTTACAAAAGGGGTGAGAGAAAGAGAAAGAGAAAGAGAGAGAGAGAGAGAGAGAGAGAGGAAGAGGGAGGGAGAGAGAGAGGGAGAGAGAAGGAACGGTCGCGAGTGTACGAGTTGCACACGAGGTGGGATGCCTCTCCGACGAGCACGTATATATATATATATATATGTATATGTATAAGGATATATATATGTATATACATGTATGGATGTATATATATATATATATACGTACGTAGTGCAGCACTTGTTGCGCCCGGGCGTCGACCTCGGACTCCGAACCCGAAGCTCCACGCCTCGGACTGCGCTCTCGTCTTCTTCTAGACCGAAAATTTTGCCACGCGCCATATACATATACATATCTCTATCGTTGGAAGACATTAAAAAAGAGAAAAGGGAAAACTAAGAAAAAAAATTGTTCAATGAAATCGTTCTCAATCGTTCATCAATCGATGATATTTTATCGAATTGTATTTGTTTCTCTGTTTTTCTTTTTTCTTTTTTTTTTTTACTTTATATATATTATATATATATATATATATATATATATATATATATATATATATATATTTTATTTTTTTTTCTTATGGCTTTTTCTTTTACATACATTTATTTTATATTGCGTATAGAAGCAAATCGTATTCAGCGAGAGATCATGTAAATTTTGTTCTCGTATCTTTCTGATCTTGTTTCAGTCTCAATGGACATTCATATGTTAAATAATACATTATTTATATTAATTATATGTATATATATATATATATATATATATATATGTATTTAACTATTATGGTTATTTATAATAATTCATAACCATAATAATTATGAATACTTCATATATTAAATAATAATAATAATAACATATATACAAAGAGAGAAAGAGAATGAAAGAGAAAGAGATATTGATCGTAATGAAACGAATAAAAAGATAAATTTGTAGATTGATTGATCGATGGATCATCGAAACTAAGTTTACCGGAGAGTTGTTTCATTCTTGGAATTCCTGATAATCTCCAGAGCGAAACTCGAGCCGAGTAAGTGCGATTCCTCTGCCACCACCTCGACCACCCCCTTCATCTCCACCTCCATCTCTTCCTCCACCTACTCCACCTTCACCTCCCTCTTCTTCTTATTCTTCGTCTTCGTCTTCTTCTTCTTCTTCTTCTTCTTCTTCTTCTTCTTCTTCTTCGTTTCGTAGTACGTATATAGGAGAGAGGTCTGGCCTCCGCCAGAGAGATTTCTTCCTGACCTGACGCAACGTGACATACTTTTGCCTTTACGTCGTCGCGACGATTCCTGAAACACGTCACAGTCACGACGACTACGACGACGATGACTACGACGACGATGACTACGACGACGATAACGACGAAGACGAAGACGAAGACGAAGAGAAGGAATGAGTAAAATCTATCTTCTTAGCAGCAACGTCTGAATTCTCCAACCAAGAGAGAATACACGTCCATCTGCTCTTACATCAATACACACGCATGTATGTATATATATATATATATATATATATATATATATATATACATACGTACATATATAAATATATATAAATATGCAAAATACACGTTGAATCTCTCTCTCTCTCTCTTTCTCTCTTTCTCTTTCTTTCGAATAACGGAATCGAACGTTATCGTGGATACATATGTCGTAGTTAGAAATTCATTTTCTCTGCCTGACAACTCGACTTTTCCCTTTTTCTTTTTCTTCTTCTTCTTCTTCTTCTTCTTCTTCTTTTATCTTTTTGTTTTTTTCTTTTCCCTTTCCCCTTCCTTTCGCAGCTTTTCACAAACGCAAATACAAACCATGCAGATATAGAAAGAGAAAGAGAAAGAGAAAGAGAGAGAGAAAGAGAGAGAGAGAGAGAGAGAGAGAGAGAGAGAGTGAGAGAAAGAGAGAGATAGTACGAAGTATTATAGAAGTAGAAGAAGGGAAAAGTCAGCGACACCCGGTAGACCGGACGATCCAATTCCTCGGCCATTCGTGGCCGAGCGTACCGCCTCGCCCTCACCTCTTCTCAAGCCTTCACCTCTTACCCTACCACCCTCTCCTCACTCTTCTCTCTCTCTCTTTTCTCTTTCTATTTCTCTCTCACTCACTCTCTTTCGTTCTCTATCATTCTCTCTCTTTCTCTTTCCCTCTCTCTCTTTCTCTCTCTCTCTCTCTCTCCCCCTTTCTCTCTCTCTCTCCCTCTCTCTCTCTCTCTCTCTCTCTCTCTCTTTCTCTTGCTATACACTAACTCGACCTATCCCAACGACGCGACGTCTTTCTGTAACAGATGACTGTACTATCG